TGAATCCCGATTTGGTTTTTATCCTGATTCGAGGAGAGTACGTGTTTGGAGAGTCATTGACCGTACAAGTTTTACAAAGGCTTTAACACTCTCACGGTGTACATCTTGGTATATAGGTGGTGCAATTAAGGAGTGGGCAGGATTTCGTTTTGGTGGAAGAACGGATTCCGTTTAGATACAGGGAAATTTGACGGCTAAAAATATCGTAATGAGGTGCTCGAACTAATAGTCTTGCCACATTGAACACAAATTAGTAAAATTTCCTGTTTATGCACGACAATGTCTGTTCACATACAGCCAGGGTGATAACAGCATGGTTGCACGAACATGATGTTACGGCCCTAGAATGACCAACGCAATCCCCAGATTTAAATCCCCTTGAACATGCTTAGGAAACAAGATCAAAGAAGAGATGTCAGGGATTTCTTGAAAATCTGGTTACAGAAGAACAACTTTTTATGCATGAACTGGATCAATATTCCTTAACAGGATATTAACTAAGTTATTTTGAGTATGCAGAAACGATGCAGATGCATTTTGACTATAATGGGTGCTTTTACTGATTATTAGCTTTTAATTAATAGCCGTGCTTAAAAGGTTTTTACTTTACTTTATGCATTTTTTTTCCTCTGCATAAAATCTGGAATCTCATTTAAAGTCAATAATTATATAGAAAATTGTAGATTGTTAAATAAAATTTTCTTGGACAATCTTAAGATAATATTGACTTTATGTGTTGCTAAAATACGTGGTAGAACCATGCTGCAGCACGAATGGATCGGCTCGACAGGGGAATCACCTTGCTCTCACAGACCACAAGCGTAAAAACAGCAACAAAAAAAAATAACAACTCAATGCTGTAGTGTTTTTTATGGTGAATGTAGAGAAGACTGTAGACTCTTTTTACTGGAAACGAGGCATACCATCTTGGTCCTCAGGGATGGCAACGCATCTGCATTTTGATGTTTAATCGAGGATAGATGTAGATGTTGGTTGCTCCAAAACGCACATTTAGTTGAGTATATTAGCTGGAAAAAAACTCCGCCTGTATTGCATCCTACGCACTGCTGATCCCAAGTCCGGGTAAAGGAGAAGGGTTCTTCGTAGAGCCAAAAACTCTACAAGTTAAAAACCCGAACATCCCGAAGTCCAATACAGAAAAATCCAGATTGCTTAAAACCCAATGACCTTGGCATAGACTTATGGAAAAACGATTTAGCCTACGAATCGATATATGAAATGTGCAAACTATGCTACAAGCTGGAAAAATGGATGAAGTCGGCCGCGAGCTGAAGAAATACAACCTCGATCTAATAGCACTTCAAGAAATTTGATGGCAGGGAACTGGCACCATAGATAAAGACGTCGAGTATACACTTCACTACAGCTGTGCCGACATTACACACTACAGTCGGGTAAACAAGAAGCTTCGAAGTTATGCACTGGGCTTTGAACCAGTCAACGACAGACTATGCAAAATACGGGTCAAAGGAAAGTTCTAAAATACTACATATGTTTGCGCATATTCACCAACGGAAGATGCATCAGACGAAGACAAAGAAAAGTTTTACGATGAACTTCACACACAATACAGTAAAGTACCGAAATATGATGCTCTTTGTGTTCCAGGTGACTTCAACGCAAAAGTGGGGACAGAGAATGTTTATGCGGACGTGGTTGGTAAGCATTCTCTGCCTGAAGACACCAGTGACAATGGAGAACTTTTGTGCAATTAGGCAGTAGTAAACAATCTTTTTATATATGGCACGAAATTTCCACACAAAAATATACACAAAGGCACCTGGAAGGTTCCCGGCAGGGCTCAATACCATTAAATTGATCATGTGCTATTTAGCAAGCGTAGACTACATTTCATACACCTCGTCATTGGGATGTGCCGAGGTTGGCGCGTAAAATTGTAGGACCTTCAAAAAATAACGTTTGGTTATTCTGAGTATAAGGTATGTAACTCTCATCAAAACACTCAAAATCTTTACAACGTTGTTAAAGAGAGACTTGTGGGCGATAAATCCGACACCTCCTGGTCGCCCTCCGTGTAATAGAACAAGTTGCCGGATTCAAGGACTACCGTCCTCTCCCTCTCTTCGGACCTCAGATAATCCTATTATATCACAGTACAACTTGTCTATCTCTTCCTCCAGCCTCAGGATCTTATCGTCAGTCCTCAGGGTGCGTGCATTATACGTTAAAAGGTTGAGTCGTCTTAAGTGGCAGCCGAACCTCCACGGAAGTTACTTAGCACCCCCTGCTCTGCCGTTATCGTGGTGAAAATTGTAGACAGTAATAGCGGGGCCACCGGGGATAGGAGGCCATTTATTTGTGTCGTTGCTCATGGGGAGTATTTTGCTAACGTTGCCACGCTTGGCGAGCGGGTTAGCAACCGCAGTTTTTTATTGTATTGGTGTTGTTATCAGGAAGATGCTGCTGCCCATCTCCAACCTTTATGTTGCAGAAGTGAAGCGTAAAGTAGACGAAAGTTTATTGACCTAGCTATTAAGAAATTAAGAGTGCTTTTAATGGACGAGCATGTTTGGGTAGGAATATGGATGTAAAGGAGGTGAGAGAAGTTTGTCAGGATCATGACAAATGTAAGTGCGTAGTCCCTGCCTACACCTCTAGATGACTTCTTACACTATCATTTTTAATTGGTATACATGAATTATAAATTCTACCATCAACTATGATGATTTAGTGTGTAAGAATATTCACTAACCCATATCATCCAGTGGGTGTCGTAAGACGCGCCAGACGAAAACAGGAGATGGGATGATAAATGAATTTTTTATCATCCCATCTCCTGTTTTGTTTCCATCTGTTTAATGTTATTATCGTATTTGTACCATTATTACATTGTGTGAATGTAGAATCGTAATAATACTAAGCGAAAATACCACAATTTTACCTTAAGATCTACCGACTTGTATTATTATCGGGTCCTTTTACTTCTTAATATTAACCCTACGATATCAAGAATTTCTGTATTGAACATGAGTATCGCATTTTTTTTAAATATAATTAGCATTAGCGCGCTTTCTGGTCAATCAGTGCTAGATCGATGCATTTATGTTGTATCCTTGATACAACTATAATGTGGGGCTACCACGATAAAACTCTAAGCTCCAGAACCAGAAGCGATCGGTTTGAAAACAGAATTCCAAAATATTTTATGAATCAGTTTTTCAGTTAAATTAAGAAGGTATAGTTTCTTTTGTACTCTTTTCGTTTTACCCTTATTGAATATATAATATATAGGGTACCTATATTCAAAATTTAGCTTACACAAAGTTCTTTAGACAAAAATAAAAGTAAAACCGTCAAAAAAGTCTAGTTTATCTATACGTTTCGATATAGATGCGTGACGCCTAAATCATGGCGCGTGGGAAAAAAAGAAGCATGAAACATCAAACGTGATATAATTTTTGACAAATAGTATAATTTTATTTTCCATGTACAATATATTTGAGGTTCTGAATCCAACCCTCGCCTAATCTTGGTAACGTAACTAAACTGACTAACAGTAAAATAAAACTTTAAAATATAATAATTTTATTGTAACAAAATTAATATAAGGTTATTAAACGATGATATGATATCTCATGTTCCTTTTTAATCTTTGTATCGTAATTTTTGTATCCTTTTACTACGCAACTGGGCATATGTATGACAGGCAAATCTGCCCTGCGCGCGCACCATTGACGACCGATTCGCGTTGGCCCTAAACTGTAATTTTAGGGCCAGCGCACTGGTCCATTTTAGTTATTCGGTCGACCCGGTCCTTACGCTAGTAATTAATATATAAGTCAATGCTACTAACTACACACATTTTACAAATAGCATAAGGAATACCCAAGAAAAAATTAATCATACCAATGTAATAATAGCATTACCCCCAGTACACAAGGTAGACATTTTCAATTCTCGTTTACAAAATAGCATACAGAAATTTGAATACGCATACTGTTTTGGACTCAGATTATGACTTAACTTGTGATGTGACTTGACATGTTTTCGCAGACCACTGGTAAACGAGGTAGTCTTATATTAGGACTCAACGATTGTAACTTTATATATTTAGAACTGTATAAACTACAGTATTTTGAAGTATTTGTCAAATAATGTTATTCGTTTGTAGATACACTAGATGAATTTTTCTTAGCTTTTATGGAGCAGCTTGAAACATTGTTTGAATATTTTTAATAAGAAATATGTAATCTGTGGGGGTTTTAATGTTAATATCTTAAGTGACACTAAGTAAAGGTTAGATTTCTTATCTGTGTTAAAATGTTATAACTTTAGACCCCTCATTTTATCGGTTGCTTTAACATGGGGAAACGTTCAATCTGTTTGGATAATTCAAATCTTCCAGATGATTGCATAAAAATACTGTGATAGATCAAAATGAGTTATCAGATGGCCACACGGCACTATTCTGTAACGTTGATCTTCAAATGCAGAAAATAATGGAAAATAATAAAAATAAAAATAATACAACATATAATATTTTACACCTCCATTTAATAAGATGACATAAAAAAGAAAGCACGAATCTACGCAGTAGTATAATAAATAAGTCTATGCACGAATCGTTTGAAGCACGAACTAAAAAACATGTTGACGTTGACGACTTGACGACAAATATATATTATTTTTATTCTTTGCTAAAATACCAATAAAAAGGTGACTACTTAAAATAAAATTGATTTTCGGAGTTATAAATTTTTAAGTGATTGAAAAATCCCAAATTCGAATATTTTGACTTAAATAAATATATAAAGAAAAGGAGTAAAATATTTAAAAAATTGTTTTAATATTTTTTAGACACTAGCTAATACATTTCTTAACACGATAGACTTTCTTGCCACGATACCATGTGGCATAGGGCTGTATAATAATTTAAGTTATTAATTAAAAAATATTATAGTTTTTTAACATTGTACATTTTTCAATGTTATGTAATATAAGATTAAACAAAATATAATTCATCTAGATTTTAACAAAATATCAGCAAGTCTTTCACCGTAAGCTATCACAGTCGCAGCAGTATTTCCGCGAGGTAGATTAGGCATCGCAGACGCATCCGCTACCCGCAAATTTTTAATACCAATTACTCGCAGTTCTTCGTCTAGCACTCTCCCAAGTGCTGCTGTACCCACTGCGTGGTACACTGAATATGTCATGTGTCTCGAATAACATCGCCAATAATCATTGCCATTCAAACCTATGCAGCCGGATAAGTTAAGACGAAGAAGAGACGCCTTCTGTTGCCTAAATTGTGGTGTTTCTAAAAGGTCTTCAACGAAATTGATAGCACGCACCATTTCGTCTACATCTGTATCATTTTGTAAATAGTTTGGTGTTATAGCAGGTGGAACGAGTGGATCGGCACTTGCTAGACGTACAGTTCCTCTTGACGCCGGTTGCAGCACCACTGGAGACATGACTATGAACGCATATTTTTTATTCACTTCAACTAATTGATCTAACACTTCATTATTAAAATGCAGCCCGCGTGATATTAATGGCCTACCGACAACCAACAGTGTTCTTGGTATAAACCCATGTATGAGCTGTAAAGTTGGTAACTCGCATTCAGCGCTATCATTTGTGAGCCGTTTATTGTGAAAATCGTAACATTTTGTGTTGACGAATGCCGTTACGTCGGTAAGACCATTCGACGCCAGGGAACCTTTATGTGTGGTCAACCATTCAACACCTGCTGTTACTTGAGTCATTAAAGTAAATAAAGCTGAATATTTGTCTATATCTCTGTTAACTTTAATAAAAAGCAAAGGGAATACGTGGTCACTCATATCATCACCTACATTCAAGTTTATTCGAACAGGTATCTTAAAATCACGTAAATGATCAGCTGGCCCAATGCCTGAAAGCATTAATATTTGGGGTGTTGCAATACCACCTGCTGACAAAATAACTTCTTTTCTTGCCTTCAAACTTAATGGAAAGTCTAAGTACTTCACTGTTACACCTTTTGCTACTCGATTCCGATCTATTATGACCCCAGTGCAAAACGTATTTTTAGCAAGTTTTAGATTTTTCTTGACATCCTTTCTAGTGAGATATGCTCTAGCTGTACTGACGCGTTCTCCGCTAGACACGTAGCCTAAGATTTTACTTACACCAATCTGACTTAATGCATTTACATCCTCGTTGTAAGGCAAATTTAAACTTGTATAACCTCCGATCATTCTCCCATGCCAATCATTTTTTGGGTCTTCAAAAAATCCAACACGAACCAAACCCTCAGTGTTATGGTAGGGCTCAGAAGTTAACGGTAGACGATCAAAATTCTCCAAACCTTCATATTTAAAAAAGTATGGTTTCATATCTTTCCAAGTCCAACCAGTGATATTCAAAGTATCAAAATCATTGCGACTCCCTCGTACGTACATCATGTAGTTAATACTCGTGGAACCACCTAAACATTTTCCGTGACTGTAACGGCATTGTTGGTCGATCGACGAAAGACAAGATACATTATTAGGAATGGTTTTGTAATACCAGTCAACTCCACTACCCATTAATGCCATTGTAGCGCCAGGAATCTGTTGTCATTAAACATATAGAAACATTAAATAACTGAGTTTTAAAAATTTAAATTTCAAATGTAATATGAGAGTAAAAGGACGCCCTACGCGTATTTAGACTGGTAAAATGCTGTAATGATGTAGATTATGATGATGTTATATCTCTAAGTTCCAAATGCTTACCCTTGTTTCCAAGGTAGGATTTCCACCAGCTTCTATTAACAAAACGTCCTTTCCCGCCATTGAGAGTCGGCTTGCCACTGCCGTACCCGCTGCGCCCGCTCCAACCACTATGTAATCGAACTCCTGGCCATCTGTAAATTAGTAATATGGAAATAATTGGTAAATATAGTATTTCTTATCTTTAAAACCTACCCAGGTGGACTCCTGGCGTGGCGGCATATACAAAATTCACTACACCATATTTTCCTGCGGGTTTCGCAAGAAGTCATATTAGCAAGTAATTTAAATATAGTTTTTGGTAAATTGGTATTGGAATGTGGTAATCTAACAAAGTTTATAGTCTAATACCAGAAGCACCAAATATTATATAGTCAATATGCATGAAAGAATTAGTAAGATAAAGTGGCAATATGCTGACCATATAGAAATAGAAATAGAAACTTTTTTATTCAATGTAGATTATAACAATACTTATTGAAAGTCACTTTTTTAACTTACCACTGGTTCGCAAAAAAACCTCTGTCCTGGGAAGAGTCAGCAAGAAACCCAGCGGGACTATTTTTTTTTCAATAATAGCTTACAATCATGTTTACAATTAACAACACAAGACAAATTAGAAATAGCTTGGTAGCGATCACCCTTCCCAGGGGTTATTATCATCCATAAATTCCTTAATATTATAATAACCCTTTTTATACAAACTTAGTTTAATAAAAATTTTGAACTTTGTGTATGACAAATTTTGTATATTTTCTGGGATTTTGTTGTAAAAGCGTATACATCGCCCCAAGAATGAATTACTGACTCGGTGGAGTCGAGTAACTGGTACTACTATTTACAGAATGAATATCAATTATTTTCGCAAAACTACTTTTATTTTTGTGTACATACATTACATTTTCATAAATGTATTGAGAGGCCAGAGTTAATATATTATTTTCTTTAAATTTTTGTCTCAGTGACTCTTTTGGTTTTAAATAAATTATATATTGCTCTAATGGCCCTCTTCTGTAAAATAAATATAATTTCAGTGTCAGTCGCGTGTCCCCATAGCAAAATACCATACGAAATAATACTATGGAAATAACTAAAGTAAACTATTCTAGCTGTTTCAACACTGGTAAGAGTTGTAATCTTTTTTACAGCATATGCTGCAGAACTAAATCTGCTAGCTAGTTTTGATATATGGGGGAGCCATTGAAGCTTTGCGTCCAGTGTGATTCCAAGAAAAATGGTGGTATCAACAAGACTCTCAGTTCCTCCCCATTTAAAATTACATTAGTATTGACATGTTTAACATTAGAAGTTACGAATTTCATACATTTAGTTTTAGTTCCATTCAAATGCAAATTATTAACATTAAACCAATTGACTAACTTAGCAATAGCGTTATTTACTTCGTCGTAATTTAATAACTGTCGTTTTAATTTGAAAATTAATGAAGTATCAACAGCAAATAATACTATATCATGGTTATCCCCTACTATGTAAAGTAAGTCATTAATATATACAAGAAACAGAAAGGGGTTGAGAATTGAGCGCTGAGGCACGCCCATTTGTACAATTGACCCGGAAAAACTCATACTATTAATGACAACTTTTTGTGTTCTGTCACTTAAATATGAAATAATTAATTTAAGAGCATCGCTTCTTACACCGTAGTGTTGAAGTTTCCTCATTAATGTTTCATGGTAAAGACAAATGAAGGGTTTGGATAGGTCACAGAACACCCAAAGCATCCTGTGAATTCTCCCATGCATTAAATATATATTTAATCAGCTCAACACCAGCATCAGTTGTCGAACGACCCCTTGTGAAACCAAATTGATTTTTATGAAGTAAATTATTTACATTAAAAAATTTACAATTGATCAAGAATAATTTTTTCAAAAAATTTACTAAGTGTTGGCAGTACAGAAATAGGTCTAAAATTGGCGGGGTCCAATGTACTACCAGATTTAAATAAAGGTATTACTTTACTATGCTTCATTAAATCAAGAAACACACCAGATTGGATACTACTATTAAAAATAATAGATAGTTGAGGTGCGATTGTACCTATTATAGACGCAATAACTTTAACAGAAATCCGCCACAGATCGGCGGTTCTCTTAATATCAATATTCTTAAAATATTTTACGATATCTTTTGATGACACTTTAAAAAAATGAATGTAAAATTCTTTGTACACACATTTACATTTTGTTTAAGTAATGATTCGGTGACGACAGGAGAAGAATTCAGTGACTTAGTGGTTAAGATCGGAATATCAGTAAAATATTTCTCAAAAACCATTGCAATGTCCTGATCTGATTTAGTTAATTTATTGTTAAAACTTAACCGGTAGTTTGAATTGCGAGAGTTGACCTTACTAGTTTCACTATTAATTATACTCCATGTCATTTTAATTTTATTAGAAGCAGTCTTTATTTTGTTGCTCAAATACAATGACTTGGCTATGGAGCACACTCTTTTAAATATTTGGAATATTTTTTTACATATTCCCTAAATTCGACGCTAGGATTATATGAACTTTCATTGTAAAGTTCATATAACATTTGTCTACTCTTATGGACTCCTTCTGTCGCCCATTCATTAAATGCCTTGCGATTGTTCAAGGAGAGTGTTTTAGAAGTAAAAGTATTATTAAATTAAATTTGCAAATGAGCTTTAATAATGTTCCATAAAAAAAATTGGATTATTTTGGTATGAAAATAATGGAAGTTTTTTTTACAGTTACTTCTAAACTTCTCTAAGCGATGTGCATTTACTGGAACAAACACTACTTTTTTATCTACTTGCTTTTCGTGAACATAAGGTAATGAAACAAATTGTCCACAGAGATCAGAGCTCAATTTTTGAATTATACATTTATTGAACGGCTTAATATTTGTAAAAATGTTATCTATACATGTGGCTCTAGATTCAGCAATACGTGTTGGCTTCAAAAATAAATTAAAAAGACCATAAGATTTAAACAATGTTCTAAATTTAATATTGGTGGAGGAAGCTTCTAGGAGATTGATATTGAAGTCACATATTACAACAGATTTATTCTGTTTATTAAGCTTAGCGAAAACTTCCTCCATAATTTTTTCAAAAGTATCATATAAAGAACATGGGGGTCTATAAACGCTACGCTACGCATAGCTCGAAGAATCGACCACCGATGGGAAAGAAAGATTCTCGAGTGTCAACTCCGTACCGATAAGCGAAGTGTAGGTTGGCCCCTACAGGATGGAGTGATGACCCGGTAAGACATGCAAGACGTCAAGCTCAGGACAGTGCTTTGTGGCATTCCTTGGGCGAGGCCTATGTTCAGCCGTAGACTCGTGAAGGCCTGTAGTGATGATGATGATGATGATGAAAAGGCATGAAAGAAAAGTATAAGAAAAAGGGTTAATAAGCGGGGCGCCGGTACGTTTGAAATATAATTCCTCTTTTAAATCAGCAGAGGGATTTAGGTTCACCATTTTTGAATGATTTGCTGCCATAGTTGCCATGCCATAAGTTGGGCAATACGTCATTCAAAAAGTTTTTTCCTCAATTTAAAACCGCCATGTTTGTAAGTGAGCGTGTAAGTGAATTTAGAAGAAGTACTTACTAAATGGTAATATCCCCAAGGGTAAGGTGCCTAGTTCTAAACCAGGAAGTGGATCGTGTCCCTCAGATAAGGTGAAGAATATTTCTATTACCAACCAGGTAAAAGGAACTGAAATAATTAACAATAATAATTAATTTATGTACTTTGACATATGAAAAACTAAAAACATTAGTTATAATTTAGTTTCTGGGAAAATTAAAACAAGTAAATTTTGAAAGAAAATCAATATATTTGCCTAAAGAAATTAAATATAACACATTCTTGTCATTTTATGGTCAGTTTATAGAAGCCTTTACTTTAGTAGTATGATGCACGAGAATCGTTGATCTGTTATAATTCGTTCTTTATGGACACCACACACGGTCAGTTAAAATGATCAGTTGAACTGACATACATTCAAAAACTGACCGTGAGTGTGGAATCTTAAAGCGCCCATTACATTATCCAATTTGCAGAGCGCTAGATTTAGTGCTGCAGTGAACTATAAAAAGAGCTCGCTCATTATACTAGACTAGCTAGTGAAGCTAGTTAGTTTAACTTCCTTTCATTTCAGTAGTGATCGTCGTCCAAACCGCATCTTTCGAAGAGCGCTAAACGAATATGGCACCATCAAAACACCAGAAAGTTGGCATTGCTTTAGCAGTGGTGTCGAGTTTAATGATAATTAATAAAAAATGACGCAGAAAGTATTGGGTCAAAGAATATTTATTGCTGAGACAAAAACTGTCAAATATGAACATTGTGAACGTATTGGAGCCATCTGATTTTAGAAATTTTTTAAGATTGGGATCTTCACAGTTTGAAGAACTACTGACATTGATCACACCATATATAAAAAGGAACATACACTTCTTAGAGAAAGTATCAGCCCAAGAGAACGATTAATTGTTACATTACGTTTTCTAGCTACAGGAAATGCTTATGAAGATTTAAAGTTTAGCTCCTTAATCTCAGCATGTCTTCTTACTTCCGGAAACATGTAAGGCTATTTATAGATGCCTAAAGCACTATATAAGCGTAAGTAAATAATACTCGTTTTTTTACAAAGAAAGTTATTTATTTAACTAGAAAATTTAATCGAATGAAAGATATTTTTGCTTTACATAATTTACCTTTTTTGGTTTAAAAATGAAATAATCCTTCATGGCGTTTCCATTACCCTTGCATACTGTTGTATTCGGAAAATTAATATTGTCTAAACTAAACAATTCATAAGATGTGTTTGGTGTTGTTTCAAGCATTGATGTTGTTTGAGCCATTTTGAAACAATCGAGAAAGTTCTAATTGTACCAGTGTTGATTGTGATGGAGAAAATGATTCAATCGGATCATTTTCAGTAGGGTGTGGCTGTTCAATAATTATTCCTTGTGGCATTGTTGGTGGGGATGAAAGAGGAGGTTGAGTATGGTAGGACGCTGATGGATGAGATGGCCGAAAAATTACTTGCTGTGGCGAGGGCTCTTGAGGTAGTGATTTAGGGGAAGAATATGGTGGTTGAGTGTAGTGGGATGGATGAGGCGACTCAATAACTAGTCCTTTTGGAGATGGGGATGGTGACAACGGTATGGCACAAGATGACTGAGAATCAGAATTAATATAATATTTAGGGGATGATGATGCACCAGATAGTACTGATTTAGTATCCAGTCTACGGGCTGGATAGCGAAATGGAGCTTGATATATTTGTGCAGTTCTACGGTTTCCAACTGTTGACTCGTAAGTGTGCTGTGATTGATTATGTTCGAGCCCAGTGACAGATGAATATTCAGTTAACATTCCCATTTGTGCGTAATAGAGGGTGTCATGTATTATTTTCTGAGCTATATAAAACTGTCTTTTATTTAGATCCTTCAGTTGCAAGCCTATACCCTTTCCTATAATTTCCCATCCCCTCTTCTTTTTTATGCAGAAGTTTCCCAGCTGTATTTATGAGTGACTCATGCTTTTGCAGTAAGCTAGCTTTCGTAAGTCTCTTTTTCTTTTGTGGAGACGCTGACTCAGATCTTCGTACACTTTCGGTTTCAGATGATGAGGTCGAAATTTCCTGTAAAATATCATTAAGTATAGTAACAGATTTGTTTTATTTTCAGATGCCTGAAACAGAAGCTGAGTGGGAAAATACCGCAAGATTCTTTAAAAATAAGTGGGACTTTAATAATTGTGTCGGTGCTTTTGACGGAAAACATGTTGCTATTGATAAACCCCCAAGAAGTGGATCTTTGTATTATAATTATAAAGGGTTTTTCAGTGTGGTGCTGTTTGCTGTAGTAAACGCTAATTACGAATTTATGTACGTATATACGGGAACTAACGGCTCTGTGGCTGATGCAGCGATTTTATAATCATCAAAATTTTATGAAAGGCTTCAAAATGGTAGTTTGAATTTACCTTCAGCTTGCACATTACCGAACACACAAGTTACTGTACCATACGTATTTTTGGGTGACAGTGCTTTTGGTATCGAAAGAAACGTAATGAAACCATTTCCTTTCAAAGGCATAACATATGAAAAAATAATATTCAACTACCCCTTATCTAGGGTTAGAAGAGTAGTAGACAATGCATTCGGTATATTAGCCGCCCGCTTCCGAGTTTTACGAAGAAATCTGAGTGTTAAAATAGATAGAGTGGATTATATTATACTCGCATGTTGTGTTTTGCACAATTTTTACGGAGAAAAGCACCACGATATATTACTACAAATTCTGTTGATCGAGAAAATACAAAAACATATATATTCCATCAAGAAGATTGGCGCCAACAGATGCGCCGATGGCCTGGTATTATCAAAGCGTGTGAATGAAACCCAGCTTAATGCTGAAGGGGTTACAGTTCGAAACAAGTTTGTGGACTATTTTAACTCAGAAGAAGGTAGTGTTTCTTTCCAGGACAAAATGATGAATTTCGTACCAACAAAATAATAAATTTTTGATTATTAAATAAACATATTATTAACATACCTGTGTTTCCATTGTGTCTCGGCCTATACGACAAGGCTCACAAACCGACCCAAGAAAACTCAAAGCATCAAAGTACCAAAGTGTAGGTACTTACACCTCGTCAGCTCCAGCTCCAGTGCGACTCGATTCTTTTACCTGAAACATAAATATATAAACCGTTCCATATTAAATAATAAACACTAAATATATAGAATAAAATCGTAAAAAAACGAATTTGTCTATTCTACTGCCAAGGTTTATAACAATTTATTCCAGAAGAAAGTAAATACGGGATAATCAAAAAACTGTCACAAATGCGTAATCCACGTGGACGAAGTCACGGGCTAAAGGCTAGTACTAAATAAAAATCGTTTTTTTAAACCCTATAAAGTTATTGCGATTGTGACAATCGCGAAATCATATGACAAAAATGTTTAGTTCGTATAATAATGAATTGGTTGGTACATACCTTTTTTAATTCCTTAAAGTAACCGGTTCTTAAATTTTGAATTTTTTTTACTAAATTTTTCACTGTCACGTTGCTATCGAATCCTTTGTAAACTTCAAGAAGCACTTTGTTTCCATCATTTCTTATATCTTTGTTATTATAGTCCTTATGTTTTTTATCCCAAAGATATGGCATGTCTTTGTATAATTCTATTATATTCAAGAGCACTTCCCTTTTTTTAGTCGATGGTTGCGTCATTTTGATCTTATAACATAAACATACGTCCGAGCGCAAGCCGACTGACTGACTGACTGGCCGAGCTAGTGTTTAGCACACTAGAACACCTTACACCATGCAATTTAGTGCGCTAGCTAGAGTACGAAATGAGCTAGCGCGGCAGAGTCCATACGATCGCACTAGATTGGATCACTAGCTGTCTAACTGCCTTTACACAATACAAATTTAGCACGCTAACTCACCTAGCGCTCTGCAAATTGGTTAATGTAATGGCCGTCTAAGTTGAAATTTTCAACTGACGGAAAACCCATGGATTTTTCGGTCGCACTGTCAATTGAAACTGCTCAGTCGAACTGACGTAAATCCAAAAAACCGATCGTGAGTGCAAAATCTTAAGTTGAAATTTTTAACTGATGGCACTCCACGGAGTTTTCCTGACGTGCCGTAATCCGCTGGTTTCAGTTCGTTAATTACTGGTAAGTGCCTACTTTCTTAGCTACATACATTATTTCTATGCTATTTAGATTTTTTATTAGTTTATATATTTAGGGAATTTCATTTGACGGATAATAAAGACTAAGGTGACTGTGGTGATGTCACCTTCCTTATGATTGACTGAGAAGATGGGTAAAGGATCTTAGTGATGCTATGTAGAACCATCGTGTTTTTTTTCAACTCATTTTGAAAAAGGTTCAAGAAGACCTATATCACCTAGCTGATGGTGGACTCCGAAGGTAGGTATAGGATCTCAGTGACGCCACTAGATAGGATGATCGTGTTTGAACTAACTTGAAATGGCACGTAAAGACCTAGGTGACTAATATGATCTCACCTTTCTGATGGTGCAATACGAAGGTGGATATAGGATCTCACTGACGCCACTAGATAGGATGATCGTGTTTGAAATCATTTTAAAGGGCACATAAAGACTTAGGTGACTATTATGATCTCACCTTTCTGATGGTGTAATACGAAGGTGGATTTAGGATCTCAGTGACGCCACTAGATAGGACAATAGTGTTTGACCTCATTTGAAAGGGCTCATAAAGACCTAGGTGACTGTTATGATCTCACGTTTCTGATGATGCAATTTAAAGGTGTGTATAGGATCTCAGTGATGGTACTATTTTTATATTTTTAATTACTATTAATTTATAGGAGTCACGTAATTTTATATGTGACACTTCTAAAAAAATTATGCCACAAAAGAGGGAGAAAACATAGGAAAAATAAAGAAAACTAAACTGAATATAGTGCACCTATATGTGTAATGTAACTTTATACAACACAAAAAATTTATTATTTTATAAAACTCAACATATCTGATTATCAAAAAAATCAAATAATTATTTTATTCATTCTAGACCATTTTCTATTTAAAAAAACATTACCACTACTCTAGGATTTTCTTCTGCATTGTGGAGGCAGTTTACAAACATAATTTGCACAAGGAAAAACATCCAGATCCGGAACAATTATTTGTAGACCATACAAATACTTCCGTTCCGTGTGGGATTTGAACCCACGGCCCCCAGCGCAGCAACTCATCGCTAAGCCACTGTGCCAAGGAGCTTGGTTATTTTATTATTTTTGTACAATCTTATGCTGGGGCCACACTAACGAGAAATGCCGTTAATTATCGCGTTGATGGACGTTGAATGCAGGTGTGGCCACGACTTAACGCGTTAATTTGACAATGACATTACGAATGTTTCGTATTGTCATCTACAAGGGACTACTCTTATTTATCCCATGCAGGTTCGGGCCTCGGGGAGTTCCCCATTACCCGGGTAATCCTCACAGCCCATTTCTATGGGCCGGTCTTGGGAGCCGTACGTTGTACGACATTGTAGGTAATCTTCTTTGGCGTATTGCGCGCCACCAGGTAGGTGCTACCGGAGGGTCAGCAGTCTCGAAGCCCCGCGGAGTCCCGAGGACAAGGAGTCGACGCAGGGCCAATCCTGCCGACAGGTGTGCGCTCCTGATAGCAGCACTCCGGGCCTCCAGTGCTCCTTCCTGGCTCTAGGTAAAGGCCTGGTATCCCTAGGCAGAAGTTGGCGTATCTCGCGCCCCTGGGAAGCGATCTGCCGAAGGGTCAGCAACCTCCAGGTCCCGCGGAGACGCATCTCGACGCGGAGCCGAAGTCACTAACAGGCGCTCGCTCCCAGCAGCACACCGGGCCTTCAGAGTTCGCTTCCCAGCATGTAGATTATGCGCAGCGTTGGGTATGTAACATCCCGGGCGGGGTCAGGGGCGTCCTCGAGGCTCGACGTAAGCCGAATTGGCCCCACAGCACGTGCACCCACTGCGAAGTGACGCGCTGTACTTCTCCCGCCCGGGCGGGAGCCGACGACCGCCGGACGTAACCGCCTGCAATCGTGGTCCGGACGCGACTCATTGTTACCAATGCTTTTTTCCGTTTGGCGATAACTCAAGTAGCGGTACCTCAAAGAGATTAACGCACGAAATAACGAGTTGAAGCGGCCATACTACGTTTGTCTCACTGTGCACGATGAGCGCAACAGGGTCGCACGTATGGCTATGATGGAGCGGAATAATAAAAAAGTTATTACGTTTCTTAAGATTCTGCAAATAGAGCCATGTTTGTGGGATCCGAGACTCAAAAGTTTTATGAATTGTACAACGCAAAACGATGCTTTGCGACGAATTATCCTTTCTGAAATTAAAATCTAATGGATTTTTACAGAACTATTTTAACAAATATAAAAGTCTTCAAAGAACATTAACGCCAACTTTAACGCCCTTGAATGGCATTGATTAGTGCGTTCGCAAATTGAGTGAACTTTATCATTTTCACTTTGTGTATGCCCGGTTATCAAATTTTTACGAAATATACTTTGAATTTTAAAAGTTTAAAACAAATATTGGTTTTCACTGACCATAACAGTTGTCATAGTAAAATAAATTCCGATTTATCCTTTAAATTCGCTGACACATATGACCCCTTCTCATTAGCCACTCGAGCCATCGATGTCACTCCAAACGTCACTTTCACAATAATCTCTTGCAAGTTCATTAACTAACAAGTTGCAAATGTTTAATTTAAACTTGAATATACATATTTTGCGGGAGTGGGTGCAAAAATATGCTCCATATTATATATTTGTTTTTATATATATATATATATATATATATATATATATATATATATATATATATATATATATATATATATATATATATATATAAAAGTAAAGTAAAGTTACAGCCTATATACGTCCCACTGCTGGGCACAGGCCTCCTCTTATTTCTGAGAGGGTATTAGGGCAAGGAAGTGTCCACCGCGTGGCAAGTGCGTGTTGGCGGACTTCACAAGTCTTCGAAATTTTTTTTTTCTTATTTCTCAGACATGCAGGTTTCCTCATGATGTTTTCCTTCACCGCCGAGCACGTGGTAAATTAGCACCTAAAATTGCAATTAACAATTTCATTGGTGCCAGCGGGGATCGAACCCGGTTTGCTCGCGTACTGTGAAATTTACAGCGAGCGCTAACCATCTGAGCTACCACGGCTCATATATATATATATATATATATATATATATATATATATATATATATATATATATATATCAAGATATTTGCCATAAAATAAAAATCTTAAAACCTCTAAATGTAACACAAGTTATTTGTAAATATAAAACAATCTACATTCAATAAAAAGGTCAATAAGGAATATTACTAATGAATGACTGAAAAAAAAAACTCCTTTAGTACGTGGTAGAGCCATGCTGCAGTTATATTAGTAGTGTAGTTATAGCACGAATGGGTCGGCTCGACCGGGGAAGGACCACGCTCTCACAGAATACCAGCGTGAAATAGTAGGTTAACGCTGCTGTGTTTCGTATGGTGAGTGTAGAGACAGAAAACCCTTTTTACTGGAAACGGGGCATTCCATCTTAGTCCTCACGGGTGACAACGCATCTGCATTTTGATTAATAATCGAGGATCGGTGTAGATGTCTATGGGCCGCAGCATCTACTTACCATCAGGTGGACTGTATGCTCGTTTATCACCCTATCCTATAAAAAAACAAGGTTAGCATCTTAGCTTTATTCACTGATTTTCACTGCTAACTTCTTTGATATCTCTTAGGTCGTTCGCATCCATATATTATTATATGAAAAATATTTAATGAATAATTACATCATAAAAATAATATTAATATGTCCTGCGGTATTACCGATAAAAACATTCCAGCAGTTAACTAACAAACATAAATAAAAGCACCAGATAGCAGTGCTGTAAATAAATTATTTACTATTTCTTCATTATTTACTATGGTTTCAAGATTTTACTTTTGCATACATTATGGTAAGTAAGTAATTATAAGAATATCTAAACAAAAAAAAAAAACGTAATAGGTACTTCATCACTGTCAGTGATGATGTCCCTGTCAACAAAGAGGAACGTGATCTTATGATCGGTGTGTTTTCTTTCATATGCAGATTTTCAAGAAATCCCATATTCCCAATACTAGTTACAAATGGCAATTCAATAATTGAAGTTGAATGAAATGAATAATCCAGAAAGAAACAATCCTTGTCTATCTAAAAATGTACTCGTCTGCTTGAGTCGAAATTGCTTGATCATGCCGAGTTTCTTGTGCTTCGTAGGATTGCTTCATATTAGATAGTGAATCTATTCTTTACTAAATAATAATGTAGTTAGTTGTATTCATACATATAAATTTATAACACTAAATCATTTTAACATTTGCAAAAGCGTCATTAGGCAAATAGTGGTACCTTTGAAATATATATATATATATATAGATTTCAAAAGCAATATTCAAACAACCCTAATGAACACATTGGCACTGTCTTGGCATTGGCATGTCTCAGTGGTTGCAAGGGTGAAAATTGGTAGCGATCACCGAATGTTTAGAGGCACATTGAACCTAAACGCTGAGTTGGAGAGGTCTTGTCTAATGAAGTCAGCGCTCCGTCCCCCTCTTGCTCTTATCCAAAATCTCGAAACCTTCCAGCTCGAGTTGCAAAAC